TTTCCCTATCGAGAACAGAAATGTTCCTGTGACAATGAGGGCACTGAAAAATCATTTTGATCGAACAAAGAGTGTCCCATTCGTGAAGCGAATTTCAGATTTTCACCTGATGCTCTTGTTGGGACGGTTTTTGGACATTAATGCTGATGTACCTGCATTAGCTGAATGTGTGCAAACACAGACACCCGTCCCCGAGGGTTATCAACTCCTTATAGAGTCCATGGCCAGTGCTTCTTAAGCCACACTAGGATATGAATCAGCAAAGGAGTGGGATGATGAGATATGAGAAAACGCCAGCCAAAATTGACCTCACAAAAGCCCCCCATGGAATCAAACCTCAGTGCCTTTGCAATGGGCAGACTTCTCTGATAATGTTGTATGCCTTGCACATTTGCTGATGTAACTAAAATCAAACAATACATTATTTATTTAGTTTTATTAAGATTTTCTGAGTTGTTTGTTTATGTTATACTATATTTGTATATTATTTTTATGATTTCCTTTTATTGCAAATTATATTTCCCATGTGATGTGTAAACTTAGTTAAATTTCATTTTCAATTTATCTATATAGGGTCTGGTTCTTATGAGAACTATTCTATGTGAGAATGTGTGAAAGGAAATGTACGAGTGTGATTAAACTAATATGTTTAGACTAAAGAAATTAGGAGAATAAAATAATAAAGAATATTAAAATAGTAAAGAACGTTTGACTAAAGGTAAATTATGAGATTAAAATAGTAAAAAATATTTGTCTAAGGTAAATTAGTCTTTTAAGTAAAAACTAATCGCATTAAAAAAATTACTCCTCCCACACTACAATTTTAAAACATGTTTCTTACTAATATTGCCTGGAAACAAAACTGCACGACAAAAAGACCGTAACAATAGTATAATGCACCACACCTAAAACATAAACGCACTGATACCTAACCAATACACAAATCACAATTCTATGATGCACCACACCTAAAACATCAACGCATTGGTACCTAATCGTTGCACAATGCACAATCGTACGATGCACTACACCTAGCACCCAAATGCATAGTCCAAAAGCCTATGATGCACTCCCCTCCTAAAATCACATATTTATCAATAGTTCTACGGTGCACCATACTAAGCGCACTAATGTACATCTCATCAACCTACGATGCACAACTCTTAACACTGGGTTGTACAACCAACAGAACGGTACTACCCATAATGTGTACATATACACCAACATCCAAATATAGACAATATTATATTTTCAAAAAATAAGTGAAAACAAATAAAAAAAATATTGATCACTTTCCATAGACGAACACTCAATCAATGATGAAGAAATTGCGGCTCCAATTCGCAACAGTGATAATCTAAGAAATAAGAAACAAATCTAGTCACATCTGCAACAATTATACACACACACAAAAGACACTACTACACCCACTTATTAAAAAAAAAAAGATAAATGTCAAATAGGCTCTTAAAGTATACTCAAAACAGCAATTAGACCCTCAATCTATAAAAAGCTCCAATTGAACCCCTCAACTTGTTTAATTAGTGTAATTCAATCAATTTGCTTGTAATCTTCCCGTTAATGCCGACATAACAACCATGTGGATTTTTATTTTTGTAAAAAAAAAAAAAAAAAAAAAAAAAAAAAAAAACCTAAAAAGCCTATGTGTATGGCAACAAACAAATAAATTTTTATTTTAGTCCAAATCAAAACAAAATAACTAGATAAATAATTACAAAATCATAATCTAATCCCCAATCGATCACCTCTTTCAGATTTTTCTTCCCTTATACCATAGTCGTTCCATCTCCTCATCTCACATATTTTTTCTCTTCACTTCTTGTCCAGAGATGATGTCTTCTTCTTGGAGTGCCTCTTCATTGTCTTCTCCATCAAAGGTGAGACCAAATCTACAATAAGAGCCCCCCTTGTATTGTTGTTGCAGATTAAAATCTCCACTTTTTGTATTACGAGATATTGGCCAGTAATTTTTTGGGTGTCAAAAATAGAAGGTATGCATATCTTAAAATTTTAACTTTGGGTATTACTATGCTTAAAGCTTGAATTTTAAAATATGCTATATTTTCAATTTTTTTTTAAACAAAATTTTTTCGTGAATTTCATTTTTTGTTTGTTTGTTGAAATTGTTCTTTTTCTTTAAATTTGATTAGTATTATAATTTTTGGGTCTTTTGAAATTTTCTTAATATTTTTTTTTATTTGTTCCAGGAAGGTGGATGTGACTTTTTTATCTGGAAAAATTTATTGTGCAATAATGATGATGTTGAATCTGATCTAAGTAAAAGATATGAGTTAGCATTGAAGAACTCAAGCTTGAAGTGATGGAAGAACTTAAATTGGTTATTCAATATGTAGTTTCGAAGGCAAAAAAAGTAATTGAGTCTAGAAGCAAAAATGGAACTGGGGGTTACGATTACACTACAAATACTTATATCTGTAAACGAGTAGGAGAGTGCGCTCGTGGGTCAGTAGGTCGGCCAGTCGGTTTACCGAGGGTCGGTCTACTTGGTGATGACTGAGCGGTCCGAGGCTGAGTAATATTACAAGTATTAAGTGGTTACAAGCGGGTTGCTACAAGTGGTGCAGGTTGCAATTGTAGAGTGTTGAATTATAAGCGAGTTGCTACAAATGGTGCAGGTTGCAATTGTAGAGTGTTGGATTATAAGCGGGTTGTTATTACAGGGTGAAGATTACAAGTAGTAAGTAGTAGGTGTTGTAATGAGATGAACATGAGAAATGATGGGGAGACCCTCCTATTTATACTAACTAAGTCGGTTTACGCATTTAATGCACCAACTACAAGTGGATTGACGTGGTGTCTTCATGTTGGCTTGGCCAGACGGTCACTCTGCAGCTACTCGTAGGTTGACTAACCGAGGTGACAGAGCCGCCCTACATGCAAGCTGTAAGTTGTTGTTCTACAAGTGCAAGTTGGCCCCTATAACTTGTCGTATAAGTTACGTTTTCGACTTTGCAGGCTGTGTCACATTGTAGGCCGACCGGTCAACATACGATAGACCGACCGGGTGGCTTTCCGTCGGGGCGATTCCAAGGGTGGTTCGAGAGCATCTTTTTTTGTCACGAGGCTTATCAGTACAAGCAGTACGGTTGATCACAAGTGATTTAGTCCCGTCGGGTTGATGGCTATAACAGACCGGTTGGGTGACTTTCTCGACGGACCGGCTATACAGATCAGTCCTTTAAGTGTATTTACCCATCAAGAATAAAGGTTTTAAAAATACAATAACAAAAAATCAAGACAATTGATTCTAATATAAAAACATCCAAAGCACTAATTGTTGGAAAATTCTGAACCATGTGTCTTTTCTGTTTTTTTTTTTTTTTTTTTTTTTTTTTTTTTTTTTTTTTTTTTAAAGGAGTGTCCTTTCTGTTATAAATATGTGGCTCATAATCTCATTTGATATTTCTTGTGGCCACTATTAACCTAATTAGCTTTGTTGGCAGAACACACAAACACATAAACTTTCTTCATCCCTTTTGTATGCCTCCCTAAGTTTGAGCATTAGTCAAGTTTGTCCAACGTGGTTATTATATGTTGCCTGTCGAAATCGAAAGCGTACCGACAATCTTGACTGCACCGTTACTGAAAAAATAACGCTTTTAAAGTAGTGTTATATAACACGGCACATACTCTCTTACATTCATACACAAGTACTTCTCCTCGTTTCCTAACAAGGTTGCCAGCCTCCGCGTTGACGTCGCTTATATTTTCCAACACCAATATGAACAAAAAAAAAAGTAAAAGAAAAATCTAAAAGTACTAATACAAAATAAGGAGGAATAATGAAATGAAATCCTTATTTTATTAGGGAATGTGTTTTTTGATTAAGGGGGTAATCACATCCCATAATAGTGTTATAAAAATCTGTCAACCAAACAATAACAATCACTTTGATTCACATTCCTGATAGCTAAACCCATGAACCAAACACACCCTTAGATTTGATGTGAATTAGAGACAAGAGATCTTGCAGGGGATGATTTGTTTTTTTCTTTTAAGGAAATCAATAGTGTGTATTTGATAAATCTGACATTGTAACTCTAATCAATAAAAGACCATAATAAAATTAATTTAGATTGTCTATTTTTTGTTGGTAAGGAATTTAGATTGTCTATAATTACTAATAAGTCACTTCTAAACTCTAAATGAAGGTTATAGTGTGAAACATAATAATCCAATTAGGTCAAACCAAATGAGTAATAACTCTAATAGAGTATTATTTTTTCATCTATCCAATATTTGTTTACCGCAATCAAAGATTTTGTTTTTGTTTTTTGTTTTTTGTTTTTTTTTTTGTTTTGTTTGTTTTTTTTTTTTTTTTTTTTTTTGGATCAAAGAGAGAGTGATATCCAACAAAATTAAGCTCTGTCTCTTCCCCTAGTTTTGGCATGAGGAGATCGAGGATAGAATTTAACTCCTATTTGATCCTGGTAGATCGCGTCCAGTACGCCATGGGGAGGAACCGTCAGAAAACGAATGTCGATCTGGTGCAACAAGGCCATCGAAGCAAACTTGTTAGCCACTCTATTTTGCTCTTTAACCACATGCTTGAAAGTCACATTGTTCAAGGAAAATTACATTTTTAGTCCTTCAATTATACTCATAGTATAGATTTAGTGTCTGAGTTATATGAGTGACCATGTTTAACCCTTAAATTATGTGCAAAGTTGTGATTTTAGTCATTCGAGAATTATTTTTGTCATCAATATGTTACTCCGTATTTACTAAAAAGTGACAGATTTGATTATTCAGGGACTAAATACGCTACTTTGTGCATAACTTAAAAGGTTAAAAATGATGATGCATAAAATTCACGAATTAAATTTATACCACGAGTATAACTGGAGGACACAAAATGTAATTTTTTCCCCAAAAAATAATGTTATGGTATCAAAATAAAATTTATTCCATTAACATTTTTAAAATGGAATTAGCAGTTTACCACGGTAACTCGGCAAGGCTGTCGCGCAGTATAATGCGGATGGTAGCGAAGATTTAGCAGAACAGAAGCAGCGTCCATAACCCACCGGTTCTATAAATTTCTTGGCGGGAGATTTTGCCGCTTTCCCAATTTCATACAATTTCATACAATCATTCACATACACTCCAGCCTTAGTGGAGTGATTTGTGATTTGTGGAGAAGAAATCTCTCTGCAAGCTCAATTTTCTCAGAATTCCATGGAAGACGACGAACCAATGCCTTCACAGACGGCGACTCGTCGTTCGGTCAGTCAGGATACCGACTTGCCCTCATGATTGTATTTGCTCGTGTCTCCGTTGTGCATTGCCCTAATTATGTTTTCTGTTTTGTTCGTTCATGGTAGAAACGGGCTAGGGTTCAGATTAGGGCCAATGATCTTCGCGAGATGAGCTTGAATGAGGACGAGAGAGAAGAATCTTCTGATGACTTTGAAGAATCTCGCCCTCGTGCTAAGCGAAACAAAGCTACTGCAAGCACTTCAGCCGCTGCTCCGATTACCGATCAGACTTTAATTGGTATTATATCATTGCAACTCTGCCCTTCTGGTTAGACTGTATATAGTATTTCAACTTTGTTGAGTCTTGTTAGTTTGAGATGGCTGTTATGCAATTTTTGTATGCTACAATTGAGTTGCTGGTCTAGAGCTATCACAGTATCACTTCACATTTTTGCATTTGATAGCATGTGCCTTGTGTGAAATTGATTGGCTGCCATTGTAACTGACACTTCAGTGGTATCCTTCAATTAAAAAAAAAAAAAAAAAAGAAGGGGAGGAGCCTTGGGAGTATTCATGACTATTATTGCATGGTGATTAAGTTGGGGCACATTTATAAGAAATTATAGTTCACATTTGGATCCTGGCTGAACATCTTGTAGAATTCTTAAAGTAGAGCATTTGCTATCTTCGTTTGCTGCATTTTCAACCCTATTGGCTTCTGAAAGTAGATATTCCTTCTTTTTATAATTATTTTCTTATAACTGCATTCCATTCTAAAACAGGGAAGAAGTATATGAATGTCATCATGCTGCTATTTTGTTGTACATACACTACAGCTGATATATGTGTATTTTTTAAAATTTGTATTCAGAGGTTCTAAAAGGTAATAGGAAACAAATCCCTCAAGTGGTTAAGAGTTGGGTTGGACATTATGAGAAGGAACCTGAAGCTGCAAAACTTGAACTTGTTATGATGATACTTGAGGTAATAATGCTTTTTAATGGCTGCAGAATTTCTGTAATTTCTATTCTAAAGCATTTAAGTGACATGTAAGTTTGGCTATGATTATATGGTTGTATTATTGCAGGCATGTGGAGCCAAGTATCATATTGATGAAGAGTCCTTGGATCAGACTAATGTTGACGATGTAGTTGTTGCCCTTGTTAACATGGCTAAGAGAGTATCCTCAACAAGCTCTATGTTCAACACTTATTATTATTATTTTTTTCAATTTTAGTATTTATATTCAGCTTTTATAATTATATAAATGTAGAATTTCCTTATCTACTTTTAGTTTTAATTTTCATTATTATTATTATTTTTGCAAGACTTATATATTTATGAAATGTTTGAGCTGTCTGCAAACAATTTATGCAGTTTCACTTAACCTTGAGATCAGGGTGAAGTGGAAGATTACCATAGTTCGAAAAAAAAGGAGTTAAAGAATTTCAAAGATAACCTCATCTTTTTCTGGGATAATTTGGTTACCGAGTGTCAAAGTGGGCCACTTTTTGATGGTGACTTGTTTGACAGGTGCACAGACTATATAATAGCATTGTCATGGTAAGTATTTGATACTGGTTAACTTTTGGTGTGTGTGTGTGTGTATTCTGGGTGATGTGATTTAGCTAATGCATTCATTGCTATGAATTGTAGCACCCCTCCTAGAGTTTATCGACAGATTGCCTCCTTGATGGGACTACAGCTTGTCACATCCTTCATAACTGTTGCTAAAATGCTTGGTACACAGCGAGAAACTACTCAGAGGCAGCTAAATGCAGAAAAGAAGAAGGCAGCTGATGGGCCTCGTGTTGAATCACTAGACAAGAGGTTATCTGTGACTCATGAAAAGATTACAGTAATAGAGGAGATGATGCGCAAAATATTTAAGGGGTAGGAGTCTCTACTTAGAATGTTATGTAAGCTCTTGTCATTAATTAATTTTCTTGTGCTTGATAGCTATTCTGTTTGTTATTTCTGTAGGTTATTTGTGCACCGGTACCGCGATGTTGAATCCGATATCAGAATGCTATGCATTCAGTCATTGGGTATCTGGATCCAGGAATACCCCTCACTGTTTTTGCAGGATTTGTATTTGAAATACCTTGGTTGGACATTGAATGATAAAGTGAGTTGACAATTTCAAAATCTAATTGATGTTATTTTATAACATTTTAGGTCCAGAACTTCAAACTCATAATTGTCAATTATATGCACAGACTGAAGGTGTGAGGAAGGCATCTGTCCTTGCATTGCAGGAATTGTTTAAGGTGGATGATAATGTTCCATCTCTTGGCCTTTTTACTGAGAGATTTTACAAAAGGATGATTGAGCTTGCAGATGACGTTGACATTTCTGTTGCTGTATGTGGCATAGGACTTGTAACACAACTGCTAAGGTACTTTAAGCATCAAATGCTGAAATAAATTTTGTGTTTTTTTCTACGACACTGTTGAAAGGTAATGGATAGACTGGATTTTTGGCATTTTACAGGCTGCAACTTATTCCTGATGAGGATTTAGGTTCATTATATGACTTACTAATTGATGACCCACCAGAAATCAGACGTGCAATTGGAGCTCTAGTGTATGATCATTTGATTGACCAGTCTAGCCGAACAGGTTTGTTTGAATTAGAAACTGCTCTAGTTTCTTTCGTTTTATTAAGTCATGCTAATGATTTTTATCCCTTCAGGAAACGCTAAAGAATCTTCAAAAATTCTACTTAGTAGAATGCTGCACATATTAAAAGAATTTTCATCTGATGAAATGTTGATTTCCTATGTTATTGATGCTATCTGGGATTACATGGATGCCATGAAAGTACGTTGCGTAGGCTATTGTTCCTTTCTAAATCATACTTTCTATCAAAATAGAGCTAAGTCCTGCATCCCTTTTGGGCAGGAGGAGGTTTCCAGGGTCATGAATCATTTAGTGCTCACTCGTTACTATGAAAATAATGTGTTTGTAGGATTGGAAGTGCATCATCTCTATGCTTCTTGAGGAAGACACATCAATTGAGCTAAGTGATGCAGATGCGACAAATCTGATTCGGCTGCTTTCTGCATCTATTAAAAAGGCAGTGGGAGAGAAGATTGTTCCTGCTACTGATAACAGAAAGCAGTATTATAGTAAAGCACAAAAAGTGAGGAAGCCTTTTATTGATCCTTCCTTTCGCCCTTCTTGGAGTACTTACTGTTCCATCTTTTAGCAATAATTGCCTGAAGTTTTCTTGTAAATTAAACTTTTGTTGCCTTTCAGTATAAAAACAAAGTCTGGTTTAAGCTGAGATCTGCTGATGTTATGAGGTCTTATATTGCTAATAGCAAAGAAAATTAGTTTCATACAATGAAAGTTTTTATCTATTTATTTACTTTCTTTTCTTTCCTCTCCTCACCTCAGCTTCCTTTATGAAGTTTTCTAGGTTGTATTGAATTTGAATCTTGTTAGGGAATAATTTTGCTACATTTTTCTCTAAAGCAAGATGTTGATAATTTGAACTTAGAAATGTCTGGGTTGGCTTGAATTGATACTTGCCAGAGCATACATTCTAGGGCACATTTATGTCTCACTTTAGGAAAATTGTCCCTATTAGTGTGACTATTGCCTGATCATACTAGTGGTATGATTTTTTTGTTTATTGAAGTTGAGAAAAGCAATTCTGAATCAGTGTGAAACCTTACTTTGTTTTAGCTTCATTGTTATCTAAGATTCCTTTATTTTGAAATCACCAGGAAACATTTGAATCAAATAAGCAGACCATTACAAATGCCATGATGAAGAATTATCCTCAGCTACTACGCAAATTTATGGTTGACAGAACAAAAGTGTCATATTTACTTGAAATAGTTGTTCATATGAACCTAGAGCTTTATTCTCTTAAGAGTCAAAATCAGGTTGGTTCACTGAAACTCTTTTTGTGGGAACTATTGAACATAACTTAGGGCAGTACAAATTAAGCAGCTTTGTTTCTCTTTCAGAATTTCACTTCTGTTCTTAATCTTATGAAAGAGGCATTCTTTAAGTATGGCGAAAAGGATGTCCTGAGATCCTGTGTGAGAGCCATCAACTACTGTGCTGCTGAGAGTCGAGGAGAGTTACATGATTTTGCTCTTAACCAGTTAAAGAATATTGAAGATGAGCTTCTTGTTAAACTTAAATCTGCAGTCAAAGAAGTAACGGTGTGTGCTCTTTTTAATGGTTCTTCTACTCTCTTCCTTTAGAACACTTTGTTATATATTGTAATTCTTGGTTTTGCAGGATGGGGATGATGAATATTTACTTCTTGTAAATTTAAAGAGATTGTATGAACTTCAATTATCACGGGAAATTTCAATCGAAAGCTTGTATGAAGAATTTGTTCATATTCTTAAAAATTTCAGAAACATCGATGATGAGGTGGGTAAAATGGAACTTGCACGATAACTGTGTATGAACTATGGAGGAATATTTTACCTGACATTGCCTACTGTGACCTACTTGTGCATACTTTATACAGGTTATTTGCTTTCTGCTTCTCAACATGCATCTGCATCTTTGTTGGTGCCTGCATTCTATCATAAATAGTAAGACAGTAACAGAGACTGTGGTATCTTCCCTAAAGTCCAAGCGCAGTACCTTGTTTGAACAACTTGAAGACTTCTTGCAAACTTGTTCTGAAAATTCTGGTGAAGCTAAATGTGGGAATGTGCTTGCATGCAGGGTAAGCATATTTCTGATTGGCAAAAGTTATCTTTCAATTCTGGGCTGACTTTTGACTGTTTATTTTCTTTTAAGGTTTGCACTATAGTTGCTGAACAGTGGTGTCTGTTCAAGAAGGCTAACTTTGCTTCAACAGAGCTGGAAACTCTGGGATATTTACCAGATAATTCCATTCTCCAAAAGTTTTGGCATGTTTGTGAAAAGCAACTACATATGTCAGGTCGGTCTAGCTCCATCATTGCTAGTATTGTGCCATAGATAGTATACGCTCATCCTCTGGTTTGACCACATTTTAGAATTGGAGCAATTGAGTCAAAAGCAACTCCTGGATGAATGTCATTTTTAAACTTCAAGTATTATGCAAGGGTCGTTATTGTTGCGTAGTCTAAAGACCGAGTTGTAGTCAAATGTGAAAATTAAATTTACTTTTATGTGCCTTCATGTAGAGGTCTGATTTTGAAACCTAAATTTATCTTATAAAATGCCAGACGAGACAGAAGATGATGACACCAATCGAGAGTATGTTGAAGAAACAAATAGAGATGCAGTCATCATTGCTGCTAGCAAGTTGGTTGCTGTTGATGCAGTTCCTAAGGTAAGTTAAATTAATATTTTATAGCTTAGACTTTTGGTCAACTGAATATGTTAAGTACTAAAGCTGGGCAGAATTAAAATTGCGGTGTTATATTAAGGATTGGTTGCCAAGGAGGAGTACTCTTTGATTCTAGTCCTGTATTATCTGAATTGAAACTTTACTGTGCTATTTTTCTTTAATCATCTGCAAATATGTTTCATTGCGGATATAGGAATATCTTGGTGCAGAGATAATATCTCATTTTGTAAGTCATGGTTCAAGTGTTTCTGAGGTCATCAAGCATCTCATCACAGTATTAAGGAAGAAAGATGACAAAATTTCAAGTATTTTACTTGAGGCGCTGAAAAAGGTTTGTTGTTTCAGCCTGGAGAAGCACAATCATTTAAATTTCATTACTGGGTGTCCTCATCTCATTCCTTTCTTTATCAGGCCTACAAGCGGCATTTGGTAGCTGTTTCATCCAGTGATGAAGTAGCATCAAGCACTACATTTCAAGAATGTAAAGATCTTGCTGCTCGGCTTTCTGGAATATTTGCAGGTGTTGCACGGAACAAGTATAGATTGGATGTTTTGAATATTGTCAAAGGAGGCATTGACTATGCCTTCTCAGATGTTCCAAAACACTTGTCTTTCTTGGATGCTGCAGTGCTACATTTTATATCCAAGCTTCCATTGACCGACATTCTTGACATGTAAGGGTTCTTTTGAATGTGTCCTGTAAACTTAATTTGCATAGGAAGTGCATGATGTTAATTGTTGATATGTTGAGCAATTAAGCTAGATTATTATTATTTTTTCCCTAATTTCTCTCATTTTTTTGGGGTAAGGAAGCTTGGCAGAATCCCATTTGGTTGGGTTCCACTTTTTCTTTTTTCTTTTGTTAATTTGAATAGGGGAGTAGGGGCATGTGGATTTTTTTTTTTTTTTTTTGCATGGGAGGTTTTTCGTGTTGGTTTCTTTTTAATGGATCTAATTACCGGAGAGAAATATTATATAAGATAGAGTTGATTTTTCTTGTTCTTAAGCATTTTGCATCATACATGCTTCCAACTCTTAATTGGTGAATCAATATTTCTACTTCCTAACCTCCCATGTACAAATACCAAAAGACATGAACTAAATATTTTCATGGGCAGCTTGAAGGATGTTGAAAGAAGAACCACAAATGTGAATACAGATGAAGATCCCAGTGGATGGCGCCCCTATTTAACATTTGTGGAGACCATTCGAGAGAAGTACGTGAAAAATGAAGGTTTCCAAGGTACATTTACGCTTATAGATTTTTGTTGTGATGCTTTAGGAGTTTAGGCAATTTATAGTCTCTTCCTCCTTATGCCTTTAATAATCAATTGTTTTGGATATTTTCTCTCCTGTCACATCCTGTAGTTATTGACATTGTGAAAATTTTTCTAATGCTTGCACTTCAAGAGGTGATTCTACTTCATTCTTAACATAAAAAGACTGATTTGAGTACATATTCTAGGAATTTCTTAGTCAACAGAATGCCTCATTAAGTAAAGCAATTATGATTGATAGGAAGTGCAGCAGAATGGAATGGCAGACTTAAATGAAATTATTATGGGTCAAGTTATTACTAGTGTAGGGAACGGATTGCTATTACAATGGTATCATTTTTTGTCCTAAATGAAAGCTAAGTTCCAATTTGGTCTTAAATGTACTAATAATTTAACTTGGTCCTAAATGTATGGCCTTGGTTTTGATTAGATCCCAATGTCATCTCCAACTAATTTATTGAGAAATAGAAATTGTATTCTTGTTCTATTTTATTTTTTCCTCAACTATTCTCCTACAAATTAATATTTATGAAATTTAATAACCTCAGAGTTAATAAAGTTCATATTTAATAAATTTGTAGGAAAATAGGTTAGGGGAGTAAAAAATAGAACCAATAGGAAGTTGAAAAGAAATGGAAAGAAAAATGAATATATTTATCAAACATCAAAATTGCCCTTTATCTATTTGGCAATAAATTGGTTGGATAATTGAAACCTATGTCATAAATTCAGTTTCAAATTGAAACAAATGTAAAAGTAGATAGTATTGGCTACAATGACAGTGCAGATACTTGATTGATGCTTGATGTATGTCCTATCTCACCATCTTGACTTGTAATCTTGGCTACAAAAAGAGCATAATTAGTTTCTTCTAGCTCTTCATTTCGTATATACTTTCTCAAACTTTGTGTTATTTGTCCAATGGTTTAGATGGGTCATAGATGTGAGTGGTATTTTGGTTTTGATTATAGATGAAAAAGAAGGCGTGTCTGCGAGACGCCGTGGGCGTCCTCGAAAGAACCAGAACATACAGGGGAAGAAACTGTTTGACGAGGCTAATTCCAGTGAAGAAGAGGATTCAATCAGTGGATCTGAGCAAGATGCAGAAGAGGAAGAGGAAGAGGAGGCTCCTCTAATACATTCCTTCAGATCAGCATCTAAGCTGAAGTCTTTGAGTGTATCAAGGGAGAAGAAAGGCCACACCAGTACAACAGGTTAGGCATTGTGGTCAGCACTCTGGAGGATAGAGATGAATGTGCACTATACACTTTGCAGGATATAGCTGTCTTTAATAGATGCAATTGGTTTTTGCTTAGGTTGATGGATGAAAGAACTATCTGTGCCTTGTAATTATGTATGTTGTATCTGCTTATCGAAGATGGGATTTGGATGCATTTTGTAACTACTGTAATTACTAACCCTACGTATTGCAGGTTTTACTGTTTGTTTAGATATCTTAGTGACTTGGAAATCAGCATGAAAGAACAAAATAATACGACTTTTTTTTTTTCCCCCTTTCCTACGCTTCTTTCATGGGCTGTTTGGTTCACGGAATGGATTTGAAATGTCATAGCATTGTCAATAATAGGTCTATTCCTCTGTTTGGTAACTACTTGTATTCCCAGGAACATTGTTCCTGGGAATGACTTATTTCCTCTACAGGGAAATAGCTATTACTGGTACTCTCCTGGTATTAACCTATTTATATTACTGGCACCCCTCTGGTATTAATCTATTCATGAGTTCTCAGGAATAGAGTTTTTATTATATTTTCTTTTTTACCCTTGATCACTCCCAAGTATCGCAACAGAGCAGAGTTTTTATTATATTTTCTTTTTTACCCTTGATCACTCCCAAGTATCGCAACAGAGCAGATTGGTTAACTGAATTGAACGATCACTCCTAGGCCGCCATGGAGAAATTCCTTCTGATTGGACGATTTGTGAGACAGAGGCAATCACTGGACATTATTAGAACCACTCCCCAATCACCTGTTCTGAATTGCCTTAGATAGAGAAATTGGTGATTGCAATTTGCGATTGCCATTTTCTAGATCAATCGAACACATTACCGGTGATCGCAGCTTGCACTCATTCTTCTCAGCTTCAATTGGGCGTTTAATTGGTGATCGCAACTCGCAATCTCCTTTTTCTAGCAATTTTGGCCCTTCATAGCAACAATTCTCCAAATTAAGCGATCGCACAATCGATGATTGCGATTTGTGATCTTTCTCCTCAACTCCAATTGGACATGCAACTAGAGATCGCACAATCAGACATGCAATTGGAGATTGCAACTCCGATGTTGCCATATTCTTGGCCGGCGATCACAATTCTTTCAAATTGAGAGATTCTTTGTTTAATTCTGTCACTTCCAGATTGTCCGAAGCTCCAGAACCGGCTAGATTATTGCTTCGTTCCAGATTTTCAGATTTCGGAGACTTAGCCATCTCCGAATTTCCGTCAGATTGTGGCTCTGTCATTTATGTCTTTTAAACATATATTCTATTTCTATTCTTTAACCAACCAAACGTGCTAATACAATTCCTAAAGTCTATTTCTTCAGCGAATCAAACAATAAAATACAATTTCTTTTCTATTCCTTACCTATTCCAATCCTTATCGAATAACATTCATATTCCCTCCAAATTTATTCCGTGAACCAAACAGCCCGTCAAAGTAAGAAATTACCTTTGTTATTTTCTTTTTTTCTTTCCATTTTCCTATTGGTATCTGGTATTTTTATATCATTAATCTTCAATTATTATGAGTTATCCTTCTTTAAAATAATATAATATTTAAATAAATGTACACAAATGTTTTGTGTCCCAACTACCTTGTTACACCATTTCGGAAGTTAGCTAGATTGTCCCAAATATTTGTCGCAGTTGTACATAGTTTGTTCAAGTTTGTAGAATTTTCTAGAATTGTACATAACTATAGAGATGTAGAAATTCATAAAATCTTTTAAAATATTATAGAATCTATAAAATTGTAGTGAGAATTTTAGAGATAGAATCGTACTCGATTAAATCAATCTCCATTGTCCATTGAGGAGTTGGATTAGTATAAATATCCTTCCCTGAGTCACTTAGCAACAGGTCGAGCACAAGGACCATAGCAACATGTTGAGCACAAGGTTAGGGACGGTGCCCAAGAGTTGAGTACAAGGTTAGGGACGATGCTCAAGAGTGCTTGGAGGCCGAACTAGCGAGGGAAGAACCTTATAAAGAAAATACATAGCCGACTAAAAGATAAAAAGATAAAATGATAATAGTTGGATAATGATTTTGTAAGCGACTTTAAGCTCCCTAGGCAAGCCTCAATTTTAAGCCTGAATTTATTATAGTGAAATGAACATTAGCACTTCTTGTAACCACCGCCGGGGAAGGAGCAGGCTCAGAGACTGGACATCATTTGCCCACAGGAGTTTCTTCTTTTAGAATTCTTTAGACTTTTAGCTAGCAAACACTTCCAATATCCTACTTTCCTTATGTCGTTTCTCTTATAGGTCAAATTATGTTAATGTGCAGTGCACAAGGGGGACATCTTCATGAAATTGAGATTTACTTTCCAACTTAAGGGAAGACTTCCTCACCAACCAGAAAACCAGATAATGTCTTCACCTCTATAAAAAATTTAATAGAAGTTCAATAGATCTCATGTAGATGCCAACTTATACTAACTTGATAACTTGATCATAGTTTAACACTTTCCAATTTAGTGAAGTAAACAATAAAATTCACTCAATCATGGCAAAAAAGGTAAGATATCAGGAGAGAAAGCAATGTACTTGTGCTCAGATTCATCTTGAATGTAAGGAGAATGATAAAAACAATAGAAATAGCTGTCTACACAAGAAACACAATAAGAAAATTTCAGAATTTTCTTTCATAGTCAAATGCAAATGACATTGTCTATTTCCACTATATTAAAAGACAATATGTTATCCGCTTCAAAATTTACAACCTACATGGTATTAGGGGGTGAAATACAATTTAAGACAGACCAACAATCATTAGTTCATTACTACCAGATTTACCATGTTATTGAAACTTCATTACATGTGCAAGAAGAAAAGAGCAAGAACTGATTTAGAATATGTATAAATTTTTGGAAATGTTTAGAAGTTAAAACAGAAATCTCCGTACTTTTGCCTGCTTTTAACCCATAGCATTGCGCGTTGTATAAGTTGCAAAGATTATATAAAATAGTAGTCAAACCAAGAAGCACTTTGTACAACAACAACAACAACAAAAAAACTGTAACAGATTGTTGAAAATTGATAAATTTCGTTAGCTAGGGAAGCAACCCAATATAAGATTACATTACATCTTCCAAAACTAAGACTCTGAATCAATGGCATTGGCTATTCATCTCTGTGCATATAATAATATATTAATATTAAAACAACATATACTTCGCAATACAAATCAATCAGTTCCACAAGTAAAACCTATTGCTTTTTACAATAGAAATACACAACTCAACCCCACTCGACACGACACAATCTTAGCTGCCATCTTCTGCATCTCACTATCTATGTTCACAACGCAGAACTCATGCATGGCCGCTCAACTGTATTTGCGAAACATAAAATAGTTCTTTTACTCGTATGGCATTATATGGTCAATTTCACTACTTCCCTTTGAAACTGTAACGATGTGCCATTCAGAAAGGAATTTGTCAAATCCTGAATGGGAGAATATTGGAACTTGTATTCAATGAAATGCCCGCTCATATATAAGCGAGTGAGTTCCGGTCTAGGTCAGGCTGAGGGCGACCACGAGTAGGGGTAGGTGGTCGTTGAATGTTTAGTTCCTGAAGAAATGAGGATCCAACATTAATTTACAGCTAAAGCAGTTTTGCACAAATTGCAGAAAAGCTACACAGGCTTACCTGCATCCATGTGTCTTCATTGACCCGTTCTGGAGATGTATCTGGGGATAGAAGAGGCGGTGGCAATGGATGAATCAATTTAGGAACTATAACAAGTCCTCTCCCAACTACCAGTATTGCACCAGCATTATTGGCAGTTCCTGAATGCATTCATTTACACATTTAGACTACATATTCTGTTGCCCAAAAAAAAAAAAAAAAAAACGGTGTAGGATTCTAAATGCATACCACAATAGTTAGTAGCAGAAAATAGTGTGATCAACTGCCCCTGGGCAAAACGTTCAAATCCATCCATAACACACTCATGTGCTCTTATTATTAATTGCAATTTATTCCTCTTACAGAAATCTGTAACACGATCAGGCTGAAAGATGCAAAATTTAAATAAAAGAATGTTATGGGAATATCCAAATTGTAGTAAAATCTTATTCACAAGCACTGGATGTTGATCAATTTCCAACTAATCCACAGTTACTATTCAATGTAATCCACTCTTACACAACGAAAACCCTAAAATGAGAACTTCAAAGGAATTCAAATTTAATGGTTTTCACAAACTGTTTGCTAGTTTAGTTGCAACTGCCTTGTTTATATCCATTAGGACTCAGAAAAATAAGAGATAACAGAAAATCAACTCATACCCCAAAGGTCACAAGACCAGGCCCTCTTGCATTCGGTCTCAATCCTTCTACACTATCATTTTCCGTGGGATCAGACCTGAAATAAGATGCATATGTAAAAGCTTTGGAGATGAAAACCTCGATTGAAATGTATGAACCAAACCTTACCATAGTAAATCCATAAGCACTATGGAGCCAGCATCCATTGTTATTGGCCTTTCTATTTTTTCAATTTGTTCAACTGAATTTATTGACCTCCCTATACCACCATGCATACAGATGATTTTCTTTTCAATAAGTGCAGCAAGTGGAAGATAGTTAAACAGTTGATTGAAACGCGTCCAAGCCCAGATTCCATCATTCTCCCCCTAACCACATGTTTCATGTTTGTCTTTAGAATATAAAAAATAAATAAATATGGAGTAAATAATAAGTATGAACATTTACACATACCATTCTTTCAATGCATTCAATTCGAAAACCAAAAAGTGCATTGATGTCTGCAGCCTCATGATTGCCTCGTATTAAATGAACATTCTCAGGATATTCAATCTGAAGTTCAAGAGCATTTTATATTAAATGAGCATTTTATATCTGAAGTTCATGATGATTGCCTCATACACGAGGACTTTTGGACTGTCTAAAGCTTACTTTTAGAGCTAGAAGCAAAGTGATGGTCTCCAAGCTGTGCTGTCCTCGATCAACGTAATCGCCGAGAAATAAATAGTCAATATAACTGAAAAACAAAGACAATATCCATCAAAATACAAGGGATGGAATACAGACTAAAGAAAATATGATTGGGAACATTTCATGACATTCAAAAAGTGTAATGAAAAACATTTCATCTTATGGAGCTTGGGTTCCTACAAGAAAGCCCCTTCTTATGCAGGCACTATTACAGGTATTTTTAGTGGAAATGATCCTTACCACAGCAATTTTACAATCAGGAACAAAGTTTGTGTATAGATATTGAGTAGAGTGTCAGATGGAGGACTAACTTA